TGTTTATGAATACATGTCGAATCTAGTGGGAGCATAAGTGTTATATTTTATAATAATCATTATGATAGTGGAAGCATAAAAGTTATGATTGTATGATTATTATGGAAAGTTTTGCAAGTTGGCAATATTAATTATAGAAAACAAGAGTTATACCTTGCAAAGTCGTAAGGGTTGTATAGTTGTTTTGCTATAATTAAGGGAGAGAATATTATGCTTCATTTCAAATCTAAAGGCTTAGGTTGAGAAATGTTAATAAATTTAGTCAAAGGTACATAGTGTGTTCTTAAAATTTCGATTATGATTACGACATTCCTTTTCACAATTCGAATTTTAAGAACATAGCAAATAAAACATTGTGCATCGTGTCCCATACGCTTCGGGTATAGGATCGATTACAAATGCTTTAATGTTTGACCATTCTAAAATTTTCCAAATGTCTAGCGCATTTAGAGGGAAAAGGGACTAGAATTGGTTTTGACTAAAATAATTAAACAACTATCAAAGGACAATCCGAAGTTCAACGAGGATTGGTCGCTTGTGAGTAGTTGGAAGTATAGTATTGGAAGATATGGAAATGTTCTCATATTGGATGGACCATATCGACATCATTACGAATAGATAAGATTCTATTAAGAATGAGTTGTCATATGGAAAATATGGAAGCGTGTTCATATTAGGAAGTAAATATTGAAAATCTATGACTAGATTAGAAACTTTTATGCAAAAGGATGTTCAAAGGAATGTACCTTGAGAGAGAGACATCATATCTAAGGAATTGTCTTGCAACAATCTCCGATAGAAGACTTTGTAATATCATTGGCAATAGTCTTTGTGACTTTGGTGCAGTGACATTATGAAAGGATCGTTGCATAAAGTGTTAGAATCTAGCATATTCTATAAGTAGCAAGAATTTTATATTCTTTCACTTGTGGAAAAGGATTTGGAGTTGAGAAATGAGAATGATTGGAAATGTATTCAATTTGATCTATTTCACAAAGTAAAAACCATAGGTAAACATTGTGTGCATGCTAGGAGCATGGGACAAGTGTAATAATTCAAGTAAGAAGTTGATTACCCGAAACGACAAATAATGAGTAATCGATATGTAAAATAAATAAAACGTGTTTTATTTATACTCAAAGCTTTGAGGCCATATGGGATTAGTATTATTCTTGTGTTTCACCTTGCATGTTTTGACTTCCAGAATAATTGAGTTTATTAAGAATAATTGAATTATTCGAACGGACCACAGTCACTCATATGTTGGAAGTAGATATGAATGAAGACTGTCGTAAATTGGTGTGTGGATTGTCTAGAAGAGTATTAGACATAAGCAAATGTTTGCTGCAACGTTCATGAGTGCTTATGAATATGATTTGAGCATTGGATTAAACCCACGCTCACTTGGATCACTCCATGAATTGTATTACGAGTGATTGGTGAGACGATAACATCTTATATTCTTGAAACCGAGATGTGTGAGTTGTATCTTGCTAATCGGTTGCACATTGATAATATGTAAACGCAGTAGTAACTTGGTGTTATAAAATATATTGTTGTGTGTGATTTGGTTAGTGAGTGCAAGCAAGCATTGTATCAAAGTTTATCCGTTCCTTTTATCCAAGGTAGGATAAAAGCAGTATCTTTTGGGCCCCTCGACGGTTTAGTGATGACAAACGTAAATGCTCGGCCAGGCTAGGGCTAATTTGATTTTGTTCAATTAGTCTGTCGTCATAAATCGGAAATCGAGATATAGTACAAAGAGAATGATTTGAAAACATATCTCATACGATATCTAGAATGGAGGAATATATGATCCCTTATCTAAGGACACGCGTATCTGATAGGATCAGAGTTGACAGCGGCTTTGGAAAGCTATGATTGCAGATCAGGATCTGAAGTCATGCGCATAATAGTTATTAGACTTATCCAAGTGGGACACTGTTGGATTAGTGTCTAAGTCCATAACTATTTTGGTATGTACTTGACTCGATGGTGCATGGTCCTTTTGGGTTGCCTTCACCAAAGCAACTTGATTGGAGAAATATATATATATATATATATATATATATATATATATATATATATATATATATATAGAGAGAGAGAGAGAGAGAGGATAATATGATTTATAAATATGTTATAAGAATAATATATTAAAGGATAAATCATATTTGTTTAATTAATATTGATCAATAATTAATTAGGAATTAATTTTGTGATCAAGTGTAATTAATTAAACTAGAGGGGCTGATTTGTAATTATGTGATAGTTACAAAATAAGGTAAGGGTTATCTTATTATTAGGTTTGACGAATTTAATGTGATATGGCCTTAGAATTCGACTATGATAAGGATTCAAGGATTATCTTATGGGTTGCTTTGTGGATAAGCAACTAGATAAAGATAATGACTGAAACCCTATCTCTACACGTATATAAAGACCCTAAGGCTCATGAATTCGTGTATCCCTTCCCAAGAAGTCCTAAGGACGAATTCTAACCTCTCTCCTCTCTCTTTATACCTTCTCCATTTGCTCTTGGTGTTTGTAAGCCATTAGAGGGGTGACACTTGTGACTCTAAGCATTCCAAAGTCAAATCAACGAGATTTGGGATTGTTATTGCTACATAACAATCAAGGTAATATCTTAAACCTAATTATATGTTAATATCGATTTCTATATGCTAGAATTAGGGTTTATAGTCTTGGATTCAAAGCATAGAGAAACCTAGATCCAAGCATTAGGGTTTGTATGAGCACATAGGATGTCTTATGACCAAAACCCATCACTTTGTTCCAAATTTTAACGAAACATTTGTTTTAGTACCACCTTTTGATACTCCAAATCATATTCTTTCCTTTTGCGTGGTCTTGATAAAATGTTCAAGACCCAAGACATTTGGTACCCAACAAGATCCAGGAATAATTTTGTTTTGTAGAATATGATTTCAGTGTGATTATCAATCTGATTCTTCGTTACTTGATAAAATTTTTCAAAGCATACTTGTCCGTGACTACACTGGTCAAACATGTAATTTTGTTTACAATTAATCACCCTTATGTTTAGATGTGATATGTAACAAAAAATTTAGATACCTATGAAGCCTTATTAAAAGAAGTCCTTCAATACTTTTCTATAAGTATTTGATTGTAATTCTCGGGAAACCACACAACCTGTCAGTCATCTCTCCTGATGAATAACAAAGTGATCTTGCATGGGATCTTACTACATTTGTGTCGAAATATTTTTGACATCACATAACCAAAAATTTCTTATTTTTCTTCTTATCTTTTTCTTTGGTCCACTAGGCACTCATGAAATCCTTGAGGTTCTGAGTAATACCAACTCAGGCTGAAGATTTCGCAAGTCTAGCAAATGACTTCTTTTTTAAACCCAAAAGTGAAAGATCCCATCCTCCATTCCGAAGGATTCATTTTTTTCCTTATCTGTTGAAGTACTATCGAAAAGACAGTTGATGTGATGTTTTGGTTGCTATATGATTTCCAAGCAAAAAGTGATCATTACCTTTTTATACGAGGCTATCTTCACGACTATAAGCATGATTTTCAAGGAGAAACGTGGCATGACTTTAATAGAAACCGTTTGGAATTCAAATTGGGTGTACATATAAAAAGGGATTTGGGGATTCTATTCCAATATTACGCTCACATAATACTCCCAAATGATTTGTGCCCTTTTTCTCTCTAATATCTAAGTTCTTCAAAACCTAACAATGGCGTCTAAGCAAGGACCACGGTCTCAAACCATTGAATATCTTTCTTCTCAACCCATTATGAAGATTCAAAGCACTAACTACCAAAGTCAAGGTGATATTAATGTTTACCTAGAGGGATTGCAGATGCTAATCGTTGCTCTACAAAATTCGGTGTTATCGACAGAAATATTCTACTCTTTTTTTGTACCACTCGCTTGGTTATCTCTTGCTGGTTCTACGGCCACTCATAGCAAGACGGTGAAGATTGTAACATTCCAGATGATGAATGACAAGAAATTCAGGTTAACGAAGAAGCTTTTTGCTCAAATTCTCAATATCCCCAATGCAGAACCTTTTTACAAGGTAACAGATAAGTGAGTCATTCATATGTTTAACGAGATGGTTTATCAACCAACTCTTAGCAAAATCAGTGAATTTAAGAAGTCTGGATTGCCTGCTATCTGGAATTTCTTATTTTGCATATACCTTCGATGCTTGACAGGTCGAGCTGTGGTGTTGGATAAAGCTAGATTAGTGGTTTACGCTATGGTAGCTGGATCTAATATGATTTATCAGTGGATTATGCAACTCAACTATGGGATGAGTTTGTGAAAAGCATCGGGAATATGAATGATGTAGATGGAATTTCTTGTGCTTGCTACTAGATCCTAATTCTGTCTTTTTTCTATAAGAAGGAAGGCATTATAGTTCATGAAGATGAAGAAACATCTGAATTCTCAGTGTATCATTATCCAAAAACTATCGGAGATAATCCATATGTGTTTCCTACTGTTGCTTGTATCCCAGATGCGATGCTTCGAAAAGTTGATCTAGCGAATCTCATATTGGTATCTTACTTGCAGACTATTAATCCATCCATTGATACTGGAGTGTTGTTGCAACAGTCTAATGAAGGTCCTTCAAGGAAGCACAAAGGATCAAAGAAGGATGATCAGGCTAGTCCTTTGAAACCTAATCCTGTACAAGTTGAAAAGTTGGCTAAACCTATTCCGAATAAATAATCAAGGAAGTGAAGTCTTCGAAACAAAATCCCAAGCTTGTTGTTGAAGAAATCGCAATACCTTATAAGGTGGTGGTACCTTCGAAATCAGGTGTGTTGAAACAGTTGAAGAAAATGGCTCATAAACGAAGCCATTCGCCTGAATAATCAACATGTTTTTCACCATCTTTTATTTGCAAGCCTCAGCTAAATAGTAAGGGGTTGTGATTTGTGAAATTCCAACACAAGCATCTCCAACATCTAATAAAAGGCGTGCTGAAGACATGGACAAAAGAATTTCAAAGAAGCAAAAGAAACATAGGAACTTAATTATCAATGAAGATTCCATGGATGAGGAAGTAGTTCTTGAATCTCCATTTGGAAATGATAAAGTGGATTCTTCACCTGTGAGGGGCTCTCCTATCAACTCGAATTTCGAGGCGATTGGGAATCCTGGTGGAAATGTGGAAGCTTGTAAAGTCAACACAACCACTAATCATGGTGAACAAACGAAGAATTCTACTCCTGAGAAGACAATTGTCACACCACTCAGAGAGTCGACTACCAAATCAATTTTTAAAGAGGTTCGCACTTCAGGCATCACTGCGAAAACATCTAATATGGACGCAAATGTTAGTACGGGTGAAGGAGTATCGAACAAAGAAGTCCAAGGTAATCTTTCTCTTATTGTATCTTCTACTTTCGAATCAGCTAGTGTTGATACCACAATCTCTTTACCATAATTTCTTATTCCTACTTCATCTGAATTACCTTCATCAACCCACTTACCTACCTTTGATAATATCATGCAACAACCCATTACTTCCTTATTCCCATCCTAATCCACAGAAGGTCCAAAAACAATTAGCGATGATGAAATCGATGATGGTGAATTTGTGGGTTCATTTGTTGATATTCAATTCAATTCTGAAGAAGAAAAGATACATGATGACATGTTGATCTCTGGGAAGCAATTTCAGATTCTGAACCGAAAGCTTAATCCATTGCTACAATTACAAGCAGATGCAGGGGGTAAACATTCAGTTTCTGGCATTGAGGTGGATGTGATGCTGAAAGCTCAAGAGCATCGTCTTCAGAATAAATTTCATCAGATGGACAAATGCAATGATGTACAAATCAAAGTTGAATCCGTGTCCTTTAATGGCGCACTTAAAGATTTGAAGACGGTTTCAAGGAAACACATGTTCTTTTTGTTGAAGATGTTAGGACTGTTTGAGAAGATGTGAATAGAAAAATCGAAGAGTTAAGAGCTGATATGGAAAAGAAAATTCAGGATTTGACTAATAATTATTCTTCTCTTCTCACAGAGGTAGATATAATTGCTGAGGCAATAACGAAAGTGGTTCAATGGTATAACTCGATGGCTCCGAAACTTGATAAGAAGGATGAGGTTAATGCTACAAATTTTGGGAATGTTGCAAAGTTACTGGTGAATTAAAGGATCAAATGTCAAAATATGGATCTTCGTCATCTTCATTACTCACTCCTGAGTTTTTAACTCATAAGTTTCGCTTATTAGTGTCAACCATTCACAATGACTTGGCTCCACATGTGAAATTTTCAAATTTCATGCCAACAGATGCCCCGCCTGTTCTCACAGGGGTGCAAGGGGGAGAAAGGAGAAGTGTTAGCACAAGTTCACAAAGTATTAGAGGCGAAGGAGGTTCTGGAGAGACTGGTGATGATGCGAAGATAGTTGGAAAGGTTATAACTACTCAGATTCCAGTGACAATGCCTAATAAAACTGATCCAAAAATCTCTACAACAATAACAAAGCTTTTGACAAAAGGAATTGTAATTGGAAGTTCAAGTGCTTCTTCGAACCCCAAGACTACTAAAGAAAATAAATGGAAAGGAAAAGGTGTAAGTGTTGGGCTTTCGAAAGATGAGAAGAAAGCTACATTAGAACAAGAGACGCAAAAACAAAGGCATATACAGAGCATTCTTAGACTTTGTGAAAGTTATCCTCCATGTTTTGAGAAGGGTGATCTAAAAAAGATTTATAGCTATGAGAACATAGCGGCAACAGTTGTTTATTTAGAAATGCGTGATTTTGAGAAAGTTCCAAAGAAAAGCTATGCAACAACAATTCCGATTTGAATCAGTTGGACTTTCCAATCAACAAGATGATGTTCATTACTACTCAATATCAAATTTTTGATATGTTCCAAGACAAAGAGGAGTTCAAGAGGTTGAAGCTTTGACTTCATGTTGTCCTTGGAAAAGAAGAAGAAGAAGTCTGGTCACTTGTTAAAATAGTTCGAGTTCTTAGTATCTCAAAAGATGTTTTACTCGCGGGAGTATTATAGAATTTTCGCTATCATGTGGTCAAAGAAAATAATAGTACATTTGACATTTAGATTGTTGACTTCCCAATCATGAATCTTAACGAATTAATCACAATTGGGAAGATTCTCAATGGAATTGATGAATTGAAACTCCAAGGTACAAGCAAGGAACATTATTTGCTGGGTCTTGCACACATCAAGCTTTTCATCAACAACTATTATGAATGCTTAACTTTGACTGATGTCGAGTTGGCATTGGCAATGGGAAAAGAAATTATCGTGCCTCAATTATTGTTGAAGAGTCAAGCTGATTTAAGGCCTTATGTCAATGGAAAAATATGCTTAAAGCCTCTTGGGATAGCATTCGTTGGAAAAAGCAAGAAGGGAAATAAAATGAAGTTTTTTTTTCCAAGATTGTAATGCTGAAAGGTACTCTACATCTCATTATACGAACTTTACTGTTCGTATGAATAGTTGCAAAAAGAATAATGATGGAGATAAGGTAAATCTGAAGAAATTGATGACATGGTATACCGAAGTTCGAAGAACTATGCACCAAGATATACAGATGTTGATGACCTGATTCATCACTGCTCACAAAGGGGGAGAATGTAGATGTCGAACATTGTTGTGAGGTGTCGAAGGTCATATATAGTTTCGATAGATTGTTATTTTATTATAAGGCCAGTTTATGTATCGAAGTTTTCAGTGTTCAGTCCCTTATATATTTGTTTTGCTTCCAAGATCCCTATAAATATGGTATGTGTACTAGAGATAAATAAGAACTTTTGTTATTTTTATCAAAATAATCTCTGTACTTCTGAAAGCATAATTGAGCTAAATAGACTTTAATTGGATCTCGTAATTCATACTCAATTTCATTACAACTACAAATGAACTGTAGAATAATATTCATCTTTGATTCAAGGATTCAATATTGTTTCCCTGACATCAAAGCTTCATCTGCAATATCTTCTTCCTCAAGATCAAAAGTTAGTTTACCAAAACCAAAACCTTCATCTTCCTCATCTTCCATATTCTGTGAAATATCCTTTCCTTGTTCAAAATAGTGGTCAGTACATTGTGAAGAAAAGAAAGAGGTAATTGCATGAGTAAACATACCAGCACAAGTTGGAGAATTTTGAGGAACAAACGTGAATTGATGTAATGAGAATTTGAGTGGTGAATCTAATTGTGGAGTAACTATCAAAGAATCGATTGTAGATTTCCCACCTATATTGACATTTGAGTCTACATGAGATGTGTTCTCAAGGATGTCTGAAGTATGAACCATCTCTGGAATGAACATGGTAGTAGGAACCTCGAGTGGTTTGATAGTTGTTGATTGAGGAAGAGATGTCGAAGGTCTTTCGTTGTTTTTGATGTTTGTGTCCATATTGGATGTATTCACAGTGACATTAAGATTGCTTATCCTCTTTGTATTAGATTCAATAATGGCAACCTTTAATGGTGAAATAGGTGATGTATTATCACAAAATACATCAGTGATCAAATGATCTACATGATGGGTTTTGAGCATAACAAAAATTCATATATGTGCTTGCAACCCTAATGCTTTGGATCCAGGTTTTCTCTAATTAAACATGAAAATTCAAACATAACAGGAGAAACCCTAGGAAGTAACTATAAATTTCGGAATCAACATGAAACTAGGGTTATGTAACATACCTTTATTTTTGTATCAGAATAACAATGATACCCTTGTAGATCTTGAAGCTTCAGAACTTAGTGTCACAAGTATAACACCTCTAATGGCTCACAAACCCACAATGCAATAAAATGATATGAGAGAGGAGGAAGAAGATCAAATTTTTTGGTTTCTTCTTTTTAGAATTACTAGCTGGAAATCAAAGGGTTGAGCACCCATTATGAAGTGCACCAAGAAGCTATAGATAACCCTAATTTGTATAAATTATCATTATCTCAAATATGGTAATTATCCACCTCCTTTGATTATCCATATATGCTAAGATATTCTAGAACTTCTATATATCATGCAATATCATACTCCACCTTCCCCAAGAAGGTTCTAGACCCTTTTGCTCAACTATTGAACAATTGCACTTTTAGCCCCTACACTTTTAATTAATCCATTAAATCCCAAAATTAATTCCAAATTGATTTTTGATTAAATATTAATTAATAATATGATTACTAATTAATATATTATTTCCATAACATATTAATAAATCATTTATTCCAATTTATTCATCAAATTAATAAATTCTTCCTCTTTCTCAATTAATCATCATGTCTAATTGCAAGTATGAAGGCAACCAAAAAGGACCATGCCACTATCAATTCAAGTACATACCAATTATAGTTATGGGATTTGACACCTAATCCAATGTTACATCATTTGCATCCTTCATGATTGTAATAAAATGATTTTGCCTTCGACATATCAATATCTTTTGTATCAGTTTCTTCTTCATCATCGGGAACATATAGAAAAATAAATCAAATAGTCTTCTTCTTTTCTTCTTAATAGGCTTAGTTACTTGCTTCTTACTAGCCGTCGTCTTCAATTTATCGTTATCTTTATGCTTTTTTTATGGTTTCCCTTCACCAAAGATTTATTTGATCACCACACTTCCCTTTGATTTGGTATTTCTATTCTCAGGGGTAGGCACCTTAGGAACATCACCAATTATTTCATGATATCAAATTAAGACATGATTCGTTAATGGAACTAACTCTAGCATAGCATCCTATATCCTTCCAATAATAGAAAAATACTCAGGATCATCAACAAAGCTTTTTGGAAATTTTAGATGAGAAAATATAAAAACCTTAACATTATTTGGAACTTTAATTCATTCTTTTTGATAGGCTTCAACAATCACTAATATCCAAAACCTCGCACTTGCGATCGTAGTAGCTGTCTTTGTATGAGTAACATATGTAGTAAATTCATCCCATAGGAACGATTCATAATCCATCTTCATCTGATCATACAATCCTGCTAAAACATAGTACAACTAAAGTTTTGCTCTCTTAAGGCCATAATTTCTCCCAGTTTGACAACGGATGATCACATCAAAGAAGAAACACCATATAGAGGGTAATTTGTATTTCTAAAAATCACTGAAAAGAGTAATAGGAGGATAATACCACATTTCATTCAACATAGGAAACACTTGATCATGTGTCATAGTTTTAAAAGGACCACTAGATTCCAAGTTTAACATCTATGTGAATTGCTTCATTATCAACACCTTCTTGGCTTTCAAATATATCTAAAATGTAACAATTTCATGATCTTTTTTATAAATAGCAATTGAACATGCCAAGGAATGTACCAATTTCATGATCATTGTAGTAAACAGCATTTGGATATGCCAAGGATAACCACTGCATCAGTATGGCAAAAGAAGAAATCAATGTGAGATGAAGAACTGAATCATTGAAACACTAAGCGAGCATTTGAAGTTCTTCTAGATAATCACCAATTTCGTGGTTAAACCTAAATTATTGGACTAAATCTTCATCTGAGGAATATAGGTTTCTTCATTGGTGGTGTTCAACTGGTCGATTTGCGACATGATGATGAATCGAGTTACAAATTTTGCAGAAAACGGAGTTTATGGTTAGGGTTATTTGAGGAGATTAGAAAAACATAATTAGAATCGTCAAAACCCATTTCAAAATGGAGTGAATTTTGAATTCGAAATGATAACCAATCGGTAGCTTCCATGCATAAAGTAAGAAGCTGAATAGACATCATCTCTATCTCCCATCTATAAAAGTCATAAGTTTGACCTCGAACAAGCAAAAATAAATAGTATTCACTTCTCATTCTTCATAGATAGCGAATATTAATTGCTTGAATATGAAACATGTAAACAAATTTGATAGTCACCACATCTTAGATTAGGTCTCATCCACTTATGGGTATAGGAAATGAAAACTTAAACCAAACTTTGCAGAATCTTGGTCCAAGTTAGTATTACCCAAAACCTCAAGGATGCGAGTGTATATGTCTATCCAAAGAAAAAGACTGGCTCAAATGTAAAAAAAAATTTAGATAAGTATTGATATAAAAGACAAGTTGATATAAACCAGTAAGATCACACGCAAAGATTCTCTTCCTTCGATATCATGAGAGATATCAAAGTGCTTGTGCAGTTTCCTGTGAATTACAATCGAATACTTATATAAAAGTATCAAAGGGCCTCTTTTATTCATAATCAAAGGTAGGTTATATTTTAAAAGAAGTTTGCAACTTAACATAAGAGCAAAACAATGTAAGAAAATCCTTGAGTGATTAGTGTAATCAGCTTCAAGTAATCATGGATAGAATATAAAGTAACTAAAGTTTAAGGAAAAATGTTCAAATTGAAATCCCATTTCATGAAAAAAAATTGGATCTATTTGGATAGAAGTGGCTATGTATTGGTCAATTTTATTAAAATGGCACAAAAGAATGAAAATGAGATTTTCAACATCTAGTCAATGGTACATTGAAATAGTAAAGGTTCGTCCATTAATTCCTTTGTAAAAACTAGAACAATAATTTTTTCATCGCCAATTTCTTAAAATGTGTCGTTTTCTGGGTTTCAGTTTCATCACGGTGATAACGATTTCAAGATCATAATAACAAAGTTTTGTCACACCGCAATTTGATTTGGTTATGACTAGAGATGTCTTAGGATATGTGTCATATGTGTGCTAAGTGTAAGAATAATGAGATAGTAAGATGGGAAACGAGTCTTTTACAAACTTATGGTGACAATAACTTATGGTTCTGACTCAAATTGTCAAGCGTTTAACAAAAATTTTGGTTTTGATTTCTGTCAATTCAGTAGTTTCAGACTTGAATATAAAATTCCACACACAAAAATATAGTTCAAATTTTTGATATTTAAATTAAAAGACAAAAATAACAAAGTTTTTTTGGTATTATTAATTTGTCAATAAAAGATATAAATAAAAGAAATCTTTTTAGGATTTTTGATTGTTCAACAAAAAATGAAAAAGAAATGAAAATGAAAATAAAAAAATATTACCATAACTTTGATAATAAGCCAACACAACTAAATGATTTAGCACAAATTATGAATGCGAAGCTCTGTGAACCGTTGAACGTGAATAGTAACCGTTGAACGATCCACTAACATTAAAATTTTATGAGTATCAAAGTCTACAACAAAAAATAGAAACTGCGATATAAATGTCATAAAGATCAAGTAAACTTTAGTACATTACATGCTTCCTATCATTCCCAACCCATTTAAAATTCTTAAGAAAGATTTTTTCAGTAAATCACACGAATCGTCCCTTATCAAAGTACCAAAAGCCACGTTTAGTCCCTATTTTTAAAAATTAACTCGGACCGTCCCTCGTTATTTTTAAACTTACAGGCTTCATCCCTCTAAGCATAAAAAGACCCTTTTGCCCTTATTTATTTCCTTTTTGATTTATTTTATAATTATTCGTTATTTATTAACTAATTATTGATTTTTTAGTATAAAATAAATATTATTTCCTAAAAAAATAGCCCTTGAATAGATTGATAACTCGTTCGATCGTCCCCTCCCCCCTTTTGTTCTTCAGTGCATCTCCAATCCACAATCACCACCCCGTCGGCGACTTTTGCAACATCTCTGGCCGACTCCAATATTCCGATCGTGAACCAACCCAACCAAAACCACTACCAATCGCCACCAGAAAACCCTATACTCTATTTTTTTCGTTTCATAAACCTAGCAACCACTACCAATCACCATAACAGATTTCTTCGGAATTCCGGTCGGGGTGTTGCAAATCCAGAAGGCGATGATGTGTAGTACCTGGGTGAGGTTTACCTTGAAGCACATAGGGGACCAACTCTCCCCCTCTTCTTCTTTGATACTTTGAATCTAAAGCACTTGTGTCGATTTCCTTTTCAAATTTCGTCTTTTTGAAGCATAATTTTTGGGGTTCGCTTTCGAAAGTGAAAACAAAAATTTCTTGTTAGAGGTAAATGGTGGTTCTTTAAGGAGATCTGGACCGGATAAGAATGGTAGCGATGATGGCCTAGAGGTTACCAACGACCATCTGCTTGATGGTGAAGGAGGTGGTGGTGACGGTGCTAGGGTTTCATGAAGATGAAGGCTTGAAGAGTTAGTACTAAAAATCAGAGAAAAAGAGGAGTGATAGGAAGAAAGAAGGGGTTGCGGTCCATTGATGGTGGTAGGCGGTGATCCGACGTCACAGCTGGTCGTCGGCGGTGGTGGTCCGGTAAGTGGTGGTGAGGATGTTTCATGATGAGAGCAAGAGGAAAAGTGTGATAGATATATGATTTGTAATTACTATTCTTTAGATATAAAATAAATTCAAAATAAACTAAAGTAGAATAGTAAAGGTAGTATAGTCATTTTAAATATGGTAAGC